TGCAGGGGCACAGCTGCCATCTTGCCATGGGCTGCAGGGAAGCTTCTGCTTGGGCACCTTCTGCCCCTTCTTCCTCCCCAACCACGGGATCTTAACCCCAGCACTGCCTTTTGCCTCTCCAGCTCAGTTCTTCTTTTCTAACTGCTAGCTCAGCTCAGCTCTTACCTCAGTTCTTTTGTATGTTAGTGGCAGAGGTTCATCTGTTGTCCCTCTAATGGCTCCTTGGCTGGTTTTGGAGCAGGGGGAGTTTCCCAGCTTGTTATGAGAGCCACCTCTGGAGCCCATCCCCCGCTAACAAAAATCCGACCAAACCAAACCATCGAACTACTCATTTTAACGCCCCTTGCTCTCAAGGAGAGCCAAGTGTTGGTGTGCAGCAGTCATGCTTGGTCTGTCAGCCTCAGGCTTTGACATGCATCAAGGTATTTTCCTCTTCAAAAACCCACTCACAGAAAGAAGCCTGTAACTTCTCTGCTGGTGTGCCTTTGAGGAGACAAAAAGGAATGCTTTTGATTTGAATACGTCAGCTAGTTGGGCATGCTGAGAAAAGTGCTCACACTTTTGTGTGACCAAATAAGCTATTTTAAAGCCTTTCAAAGCTGACTCCCAGGTGTTTTGGGGTATTTTCACTCCCCAGGACTCGAGTTGCCTGTTTTTTTCTTTTTTTAATCCTTTCCTTAAACAAGACAGGTGCATGAGTGTTTTCCTGGCCTTGAAACATAGCTGGGCCTCATACTCAGTTGTATTTGTCTGTAGCAGAATTGTCAGTTTGTAACCAGGCTCTGACCATCCTCACACCTCACATGCAAGATCAGAGAAGAAACTGGATGTGCATGATGATCACTCTTGCCTAACTTTGAAACTGGTGGTTTTATTATATTTCTTTTACCTATCCCTAGTTTGAGTATTTTATGATTGCTTAAGGAAAGATGCTTTTCTGAAAAGCTCCCAGAGGCTTTTCTGAATAAGCTTTAATTGGTGCACCAATGATAATCAAATTTGCCCTAAGTCCTCTTCAGCCAAAGAGGTGTCCCCACTGACCAGCACCATTGCGTAGAGCCACCTTTGAGAATGACCAGCCCTGATCCACCTCCAAGCCCCAGGCACTGTGCTGCTCAGCCCCCAGCTCAGAGAGACCAGGGCTGTGTTGCCTCTGGGACTGTGGCCATTCCCATCCCTTTTGTGTACCATGAAGGAGCAAAATACTGTGGTAAAACCCAGGGAGGTTTCGCTGCATGAAGCTTGCCTGTCTCTTAAAATCAGAGAATCACAGAATTGTTTTGATTGGAAAAGACCTTTAAGATCTTCAGGTCCAACCATTAACCCAGCACTGCCCAGGCCACCACTGCCCCATGTTCCTCCACACCACATCTACATGGCTTGGAAACCCCTCCAGGGATGGGGACTCCACCCCTGCCCTGGGCAGCCTGGGCCAGGGCATGGCAACCCTTTCTGTGAAGAATTTGTTCTCAATATCCAATCTAAACCTCCCCTGGCACAACTTAAGGCCATTTCCTCTTGTATCACTTGTTTGTTAGGAGAAGAGACTGATTCCCCCTGTCTCCAGCCTCCTTTCAGAGAGCTGTGGAGAGCAAGGTCTCCCCTCAGCTTCCTTTTCTCCAGGCTGAACACCCACAGCTCCCTCAGCTGCTTCTTGTCAGATTTGTGATCCAGCCCCTTCTCCAGCTCCATTGCTCTTCTCTGGAATCCCTCCAGCCCCTCAGTGTCCATTTGGGGCTGCTTGTGCCACCCCATGGACTGGGGCCCTAGTTCTGCATGCCTTGTGTGCAGAGACAGAAAATGCAGAGCCTTTGTCATCCTTTGCAGTCTACCAAGGAAACAGACTTGAATTTTGGGTGCAGGAATGGGCCCCCAAATGCTGCTTCTCCCATCCCAGTCCTCTTATACTCACAGTTATAACAGTTCTTTGGGAATGGGCTTGCTGAGGGACCACCATTACCTTTCCTGTTTTTTTCCAAGCATTCAAACAAAGCCAAAGTTGTACAAAATAGAAGGCTGAGTGCCAGAGCCCTTCTTTCCCATGGACCTCATTTTGGAGGCTTGAAGCTCAGGTCAGAGTTCTCAGGAGAAAAACTTTAGCAACAGATCCTCTGGGATGTAACTAGACTCTGCTGTGTGCATTCCCTGTTCCCCTGTGATTGTCCTGATGTTGCCAGCTGAGCATCAGCTGAACACATGGTATCATCTCCTCTCGTGAGCCTTATCCTACAAAAATAGGTGACCCTTGGCTGGAGGATTTCACCAGATCTCCTCAGCATGAAGCTCAGCAGTCACAGCTTGCTGTAACTCATCTGCTGTTGTGTGCAGCTACAGTCAGAAGCATTTGAGCTACCTGAAACAGGGGGGTCAGGTAGCGTAGATAATGTCAAGGTGTGCAGTTTTGTTGTAACTCATTTGGGTGGCCTCATCCAGATAGTGGATGGTTGCCCCAGCTGAATGGAGATTGCAGACTTAGTGCAGGGGGAGCACAGAGCTTTAAAAAAAGCAAAGAAATTATACGAGGCCTTGGCAGTGGCTGGTGAAAACGGGAAAGGGGTGCTCCTTGGGAAGGCACTGAGTCAGAGATGGAATTAAAAGCCATGGATGTTGTAGATAGACAGATCTCCTGCCTCTTTGTGTGTTGAAAGGCAGAAGAGTTGGACTGAATTGAAAGACCCCCACATTTTGTGCATCATGATAGGGGGCTGAGGGGTGCACTACTGTGGCACAATGGCGAAGCCAGGAGGCCCTGGATGAGTGAGTATTTGGGATAACAGGTTAATACTTAGGATTCAAGCAGCACTTGGGCCATGCCATATGGCACAGCTGGACCACAAGCACCACTGAGCAGACCCAGGAAGTAAAATTATGCTAATTTATTTTTAAAAATAATATTATTTTTTTTTACTAGGTTGCAGCAACAATGGGACAGTCTGCTGGTGACTTAATACATCCAGTGTCCAGTCCAACCATAGAGACCAGTCAGCAAGCCAGTAAGTTAGAGGAGCTCAGGAAGGAGATACCTGCCTGCCAGGAGACTGGGGGGGCCAGGAAAAGGACAAACCCTCGGCTGAGGCCTCAGGAGCCACCACAGCCACCAGCACCTTCTCCAGACCATGTGCAGTCCAGCAAGGAGCACCCACCCTCTAGGAAACAGATAGAAGGACATTCCCATGCTCTTGAGGGCAGAGAGACCCAAGAAGGACTGTCAAATCAAGAAGACAGAAGCCAAAGTGAGGAAGAGCTAAAGAAATCAAGTCCTCCAGAGCCTGGAGAAAGTTCTCTTCTTCAGCAAATTGTGCATCAGACAGCAGTCAAAGATGGGAAGAGCAAAGAGGCAGTACAGCTGCCTGTGAGCCATGCCGGTGCAGAGGCAGGAGGGAGTGGTGCAGCAGAGCTACCTCCTGCAGCTGCACACAGGGAAGTGGGAGGAGCACCCTTGGGACATCAGTTGACTGAGACACCAGCTCCTGCTTCAGTTCGACTTGCCAAGGAAGAGCTGCTCCCTGATCCTGCAGTGGGGACCTCGGTGGCTCAGGAGGCACTCTTTGCAGCTCACGGCACCCCAGGGATGGAGGCCACAGCAGGAGAGGTCCTGTCTGGAGCCCAGATGCTGCCTCCTGAGAGCAGAGAAACAGAAATCAAAGAGATAGATGGATCTGCCCTGCAAGAGAAGTTTTCAGCCAGCACATTAGGAGAAGAGAGTGCCAAACCAGTGCCTGTGGGTCCTCAGGGGAAGGAAGGAGAGCAAACAGTCACAGTTCTGTGCCAGGAACATGCAGCACCTTCAGGCACTGTTGAGGGAAGTGCTGAGGCTCAGCCACAAGTACCACTGGTCCTGCCTAGCCCCGAGACAACTCAGGAGATGTCTTTGGAGGAGAAGATGCAGCACAAAAACCTTGTTTCCTCCTTGAAGAACTATTTGCTGCTGCTTTTAAAAATGTCAGATAGCATTAAGGATGCCACAAAAGAAGACAGTGACCCCAGGGACAAGGAGCAGCCTGATGCAGAGGAAGTCATGCTCCCAGAGACAGGCATTGCAGGCCTGAGCCCCCGCACCTCAAGGAGAGTTTTGGAAAAGGTGCAAAACAATCAGCTCTTCCAAACAGCAGAGAACTTACCTCTGACCCCCAGGACATCCCGGCGGATCACAGGCATGATTAACGAGGAACTCATTACCAGCAAGGAGATGCTGGATTGCAGGCCTGTGCCACCAAAGAGACGTACCCGGGTGTCTCCTGAGCTCTCTGTGCCCTCCATCGTGGTGGGCAGCATGCCAGCAGATGGAATGGGGCAGCCTCATCACGATATATCCAGTTTGCCTCCAGCAAGCCCTGAGAAAGGGAGCCCTGGTGACTCTCTGGCAGTACTACCTTGTGCCACGCCAGAGGAGCTTGCCTCTGGAGCCCGGCGCAAAATATACCTTCCAAAAACCAAGCAGGTAGAGGAGGAAGGGGAGGCCACCCCAGAGAGCCCAGGGCAGGTGAGAAGTCCTACCGTTTCACCACAGCAATCCAGGAGGAATGTGGCCCTGCTGCCGTCACCTGCACTGGCTCTGCCTCCTCCAGCAGAGCAGCGCTTGCCAACCCTCACGAGGAAGATGGCCACCCTGGAGGTTCCTAAGCTGTATGAGGAGCCCACAGGTGACAGCAGTGGTGACCACAAAGTCCCTGAAGATACTAAGCCAGAAGAACAGCCAGCAGAGTCCAAGAAAGTGAATAACCCATTTAAAGGTAAGGGAAGAGGTCATTCCCATCAAGCATGGTTCCTTGTTGCCTACAAAGGGAGCCTGGCCGACTGGGCTGATGATAGTCAGGTGGGGCCACCTGAGTTTTGTGCATTTGCAGGGCTTTCAGCATTGCCCTTTGGCTGTGTGAAAGCCCAAAGTCTGCCCTGAGACTTATTTCCTAGCACAGGGCGGGCAGAGGAACACAAAGAGACGGCAGCACTGAGGCTGGCTGCCTCCACAGCCTGGACTTCCCTGGCCAAAAGAATCATACAACCCTCTTGTCCTTGGTCTGCATGTCCTGGTTCCCACCATGCCTCATGCTATGAGAGCTCCACTGGGCATCAGCAAGTTGCACCCTGCTTTTCCACCTCCACAATCAATGCTAAGTTGACCCCTCATGGCATTAAACTAGGAAAGGTGTAAAGCGCTTGTGGGAACCAGGTGATGCCCTCACAGAAATATTCTTGGTAACCTTGATAAATCCCAACTTCAGTAGATAAATGTTTCCTCCAGCACTGTATGTTGCTTTTCTGCATTGTCTCTGTCCAGGCCTCACTAGGTCCTGCCGTGCTGAGCTGTGGAATGAGTGTGTACGCTTGTATCCCACTGTATTTATCCAAGCAGAGCTCTGAGACCTTCCTGGGGAAGGTCACGCTATGCCAGGCTCTGCTGACATACAGGTGATATCCAACACCGAGGTCCTAAGCAGCACTGCTGTGTGTCTCACCATCCATCTCTTTGCACCCTGTCCTCAGCTCCACAGGTGATTCGTAAGATCAGGGCAGAACAATTTTCCGATGCCTCAGGACACCTGAAACTTTGGTGCCAGTTCTTCAATATTTTGAGTGATTCTAACCTGATGTGGTACAAGGACGAGATCCCTGTAGCAGAAGCCCAAAGGAGGTAACCTGCCAGCTCCACTTCCTTGTAGACCTTGGACATGGCCCTGGGCTGGTGTGTTCAATCCAGCGTGTGCTGGGGTGAAGGTGCCCCTGCTGTAAAGGCTGCATGGGAAGCTCATGGCATTGTATGTTGTGGACTTTATCTTCTCAGTGCCTGGGGAGGGGGCATCGCCCAGATGAGGGATTGCTGCCAAATTTGTCCTTTTGATGCTCCATCTGGAGCTTGACTTAAGGGCTGGTGCTTGAGTAGCAGAGCCCTGGGAAAGGCAGAGGCTGCGCCTGAACCTTGGGGAGGGCGGAGAAGGTGCTGTGCCCATCTCAGAGCTTGAGAGTTGAGTGTGGGCTGCCAAAGTGGGACCCCAAGTGATAAGATGTGAGGGTTGCAGCTGTGTTCCTGGATTCTCCCTTGGGTGCATTATGGAGAGCTTGTTTTCAAGCTTGTGTGGGAACATCATCCACACTGGATGGGATTTGCCTCATGCCTTTGGGCATCCTTGAGCTCCCTTTGTAATGAGCAGGCAGAGAGAGGTGCTTCTGTGGCAGAAACCACATTCTATGGTTCTTGGTGTTTAATCCAGGGTATCTGAGCTGGGGCAGGTGGACCAGGAGGGGGCCACTGCCATCTAGTTGACCAGGGTAAAGACTGCTCAGCCAGTGAGTCTCTGGATGAGGGGCCCACCTCATTCCTCTGCAGCCTGCCATCCCCTTGCTGGTTGGCACTGGCCATGTGAGACAGAAGACATGTTCTTGTGGAGACCCATCTGTGCCTGATGGGTCACCAGCTTGGCTAGAGGAACTGCCAGCCTAGAGCCTGGTCTACAGGCTTGAGAAAGCCTGCTCAAGGGGTTTTGCCAGTTCCTAGGAGAGGGGCAGGCTGCAGGATGGGGAGAGGTGTGAGCCCTCACTTGTGAACAGCTGACAACAAAGCTCCCAGCCATCCCATCCGAGCCGCACTCGGAGGCAAGTACCTTATCAGTCTGTAGCCCAATCCAAGCCAGATTGTTCAGGGCTTGCTGGGAAGGCAAGTGTCTCTGAAAGTCCAAACTGCAGGGCAGGACTCCTAATGCCAAGAGGTGCTGGTAGAGCAGGTGGGCCACCCTTGGGCTGCCCTTGGGCTGGCATCCTTTGTAGCCTTCTTCCAGCCCTCTAGGGCAGCCCAATGCCCACCCACACTGCCTGTGACAGTGCTCCCCAAGGTCCCCACGTATCATATGGGGCTGAGGCCATGCTGTGGTTTCTTCCAGTGCTGGTGACGAGGGCCAGGCAGCCTTGGCTGTGGTGCAAGTGTCCCAGAAGGACTGCGGGGTCTATCGGTGTGTGATCAGCAATGAGTACGGCTCTGACTCCACCAATTTCCTGCTCAACCCAGAAGGTGAGGAAACTTCAGCAGCCTGGCAGCTATGCCAGCTGCCCAGGTGTGCTGTGGGATGGCATGGCAAACTGCAGAGCCCATAACACCACCTCTATGAGGTGCATCTGCCTCCATCTGCTAATTGATGAATGATTTCTACCATCTTCCTTGCCATCCCTTGTGTGGAAGTGCACAGGGCAGCATGGAATCCTGGCAGGACCTTATCATTGAATCATTGAAGGGACCTTAAAGATCATCAAGTTCCAAGCTCCCTGCTATGGGCATCCCACTAGACCAGGTTGCTCCAGCTCTTCTGGGCAAACCATGCCAGTGTCTCACCACCCTCACAGGAAGAATGTCTTCCTGATAATCTCATCTAAATCTCATCTCTTTCAGCTTAAAACCATTATCTCTTGTCCTATCACTCTATGCCCATGTAAAAAGTCCCTCCCCAGCTTTCCTGTAGCTTTTCAGGCACTGGAAGGTGCTCAAAGGTCTCCCTGGAGCCCCAGCTTCTCCTCACCTCTTCGCTTTCTGTCTTCTCTAGTGCTGTCAGGCTTTATCTTGCCGGAGGAAATCGAAGGTAAGGGTCATGTGCTGCTGAGTGGCAGCTTCTGCCCTTTGCTGCACAGGGAGCAGGCAGCTCTGCAGAGAGGGCAGGACATGCCCACCATGTCCCCCCTCACCAGCTCTTCCTTCCTCCAGTTGGAGAGGAGATCGAGATGACGCCCATGGTGTTTGCCAAGGGTTTGGCTGACGCAGGCTACTGGGGGGATAAGCTCTTTGGGCGCGTGGTGAGCGAAGATGTAGAAGTGGCTGCTGGATTCCTGCGCAAAGCCTGCCGTGCCAGGGCCATCTATGGCCTGGAGCCCATCTTTGAGTCTGGCTGCACCTGCATCATCAAAGTGCACAATTTCATTGCCTTTGGGACCAAGAATGAGAACAGCCTCGTTGAGAAGAATTATGATATCACCATCCAGGTGGGCATCCTCGTGGGGCATGCTCCAGTTGTTTGTGCCACACCTTCCCTGTCTGTCTGTGCCATGGTGCCCAGCTCTGTCCCCAGTTTATTTCCTACCTCTTTTTGAATGCTCTGGAGGAACTGAGCCATATTCCAGCAGGCTGGCGGTGTCCTTGTTATTCTTGCCTTCAGCTTCTCTCTCTGAGCAATACAGAGCTGCTTGGAGCTGTCCCGTCACTTGTCCTTTGATCACCAGGACAGGGAAACAACTGGTAGTGGCCAGGCAGGGCGCCCCAGGGAAGTGAAGCAGGATGGGACAGGTCCTGACTCCTTTCTTTGCATCTTCAGGAATGTAAGATCCAGAACTCCAGCCGCGAGTACTGCAAGATCTTTGCTGCTGAGGCACGAGCTGTCCCTGATTTTGGAGCAGTGCCTGAGTAAGTAAGATGCTCCCCCTCTGCTGGATTGATATCCTGGCAGTGGATCCTGGGGGGTGGGGACATCCCAAGGGCAGCAGATGGAAGGGATGCTGGGGGGAAAGGGGCAGAAGACAGGATTGCAGATGACAGAATGAGTCTCCCCTTGCTGTGGTAGGAGAGCTCGCCAGCAGGGGCTGACCCCCTCTGTGCTCTCCCTCACAGGATAGTTCCTCTGTACCTGATTTACCGACCGGCCAACAACATCCCCTACGCCACAATGGAGGAGGACCTGGGAGGACCCTGTGAGCAGTACTGTGTCACTGAGAGAGATGGCAGCTTGGTGGCACGGGGCACCTCAGAGATTGTGCTCAAATGCTGCACATTCCAGCATTGGGTCTACCAGTGGACAAATGGAAACATCCTTGTGACTGACATGGAAGGTAAAGTGATCTCCCCCATCTGAATTCCCATGGCACCTCACCACCTCCCATGGCCTGTGAGAGGAGGAGGAAAAGCCCCAGCCTTGCCCTCCTGTCTCTTTCCCCATGTTCCAGAGAGCTCAGCTCCCAGGGCAATGATCTGGTGCCAGCACCTGTCCTTCTTAAGGTAAAGACTGGTTATCCTCCCTTTCATTGCAGGAGTGGGCTGGAAGATAACCAATGTTCGGATCGCTACCAACCTGAAAGGGTGAGTGTCCCTGAGCTGCTGGCACAGGGTGGCCCTTGGCTGTCCCCAGCTCCACCACTCATGTGGCAAAGGGCCATGGTGGTGAGCACAGACAGGCTCCGTCCTTGGCTCCCTGCCCCATGGGACATCTCTGGGTGCAAAGCAGGGGCTGAGGATGTCTGTGTTGGCAGGTACCAGGGACTGAAGGAAAGCTGCTTACCCTCCCTGCTGGAGCAATTCGCAGCTGCTCACCAGTGCAACCATTACTGCAGCATCCTAGGCCTGAAGACACTGGAGTCAGCCAAGTCCAAGGGCTCCAAGAGCCCTTCTGTCGGAAGGAAATCCACCCAGTCCAGTCCCCAACTCCAGAAGAAGGGGCTGGCAAGTCCCCAGGGTACTCGCAAGACTGCCATGAGCCCCAGAAGCTCCCGGAGAGCTGTAGAATCAGGGGAGACCCTGGCAGCCCCCAAACCCAGGTCAGGAGAGAGCAGCAGGGCTGGCTGCCTGCAGTAGCTAGAGCCACTGGACCCCCCCAGCTCCAGACACGAGATGGAGCAGCCGAGAGGCATCAGGAGGCTGAGCTGGGCAGGGGAGACCCTGGTGACTGCAGCTGCCGCTCTTCTCCCTTTGGTTGGGCCCAGCCCACAGTGCTTGCATTGTGTGGTGTGTGCTAGTGTGAGCAGCTGAGCCAGGGACTGGGGGCTGCAAGCTCAGGGCAGCACAGGCCCCCTCTCCAAATGCCTCCTGACAAGAGCTGCTGTCAGTGATGGGGCCTGTGGAGCCACGTGCTGCTCCATGCTCGGGCTCGCTTTCCTCTCTCGACTCTCCTTGTTTGCCTTCTGTGAGGAAGGCCCACTCCCTCAGGCTTTGCAGGTGCCATGTCCCCTACCTCCCTCGACCAAACTGGGAGTCTGAGCTGCCGTCCTGGCTCTTGACACTTCAAGTCCTTCTTGGTGTCCTCCGTAAAGTGACTGTGCCAAGCCCTGACAGTGCTCCACGTTACAGGTGCGAACCCCAGCAGCATTTGCCCTGGCACACTGTCATGTAAAAAGGTTTTCCTGCAGAGGGGTTTAGCAGTGAGCTGCAAGGCTCCTGCTGGTCTTGCGTGGGGCTCTGGTGTGCACGCCAGCCCCATAGTGGGGTGCTTGCACCAGCAGCAGCAGCTACACAGGGGTGGGATTTTGCACTCCTGGCCTCCCTCATGCCCAGGGGTGATCCTCCCACCCTCTTGCTGGGAGGATGCCGAGGGCAGCAGTGATGCTATGGGTGCCCACCAGCAACATGGTAAGGATGCTCTGCCTCCCCTGGGACACCTGAAAACAGAGCAAAGGGGAGACCTGTGCTGCTATGGCACATGTGGGTGTCCAGCCTGCAGGACTCCCTCCTTCTTTGCACACCTGACAAATGCAGCCCTCACAAGCCCTGCCCAGCCCCAGAGCACAGCCTGGTCATGCTCAGCATGGCTTCTGCGTGGCAGATGCCAACTGGCAACTTCAGATCGCAGCAGGAGGCAGGGACAGACAGGCTCCTGCTGGGAAGCAAAGCCCCCTGCATAGCATCCAGCCTCCCTTGTGCCCATCAGCTCACCCAAGCATGGCAGCAGGTGGCGAGGCCTGCAGAGGATCCCAACACTGCCTCTGAAACGCTGCCTGCAGGATGGGAGGGGCAGGGCTGGGGGTGCTCTGGGGTCCTGGTGCATTGTTGTTGGGTCATTGTAAAATAATGATGTACATAATGTGGCCGCTTTGGTGAGGGAGCGCTCTCGAGTGCAATAAAGTGAGAAGGACTGGGCTGTTCCTCAGTGGTGTGCTCCCTGAGGAAAAGATCCACCCAAAGATGGCAGGACTGGTTGGCTTTGTGTTTGTGGGGAAGGAAACGTCTTCAAGTGATGGCTTTAACCCCTTCAGCACTCCACAGGGGAGAAGAAGGTGGCTGGGTGAGACCCTAAAGCTGGCATTTGGCTTGTGGGTGCAGCCTGAGCAAAGCACCTTGAGCCATGTGGAACAGCTATAGTCAGGGACCAGAGTGGGGCTGAGGGCCAGCAGGCAGGGATATCCATTATTTATTTGGGAGCTGTTCCTTTGTGTCCACAGGGCCAGCACCAAAGGGCACAAGGTGCATGCAGCTGTTTGTCATCACTGGCGCAGAGAAGACCAAATGCACAGGTCTCTGCCAGGGTTTTTTTTCTACCTTTGGGCGGACGCTGGTGCTCCAAGGCCCTCTCCTCTGGTGTGGGCAGCTGCCTGCATGTGTCTACATTGTCCCCACACAGGACGTGTGGTTATAGTGCCCACAGCACTGTGTCAGGTATAGTACGCTCTCTGCCAGGCCTGCCCAGGCTCCTGTGAAGGAGAGTGTCCCATTCTCGAGCATTGAGCTGAAAGGAGAGAAGTGCAGTCAGGAGAAGCTGCGGCCCCACCATCTGGGTCCCTAGGCAGGACCATTTGGCTTTGGGGCCCTTCACACCCACCTGGCAAAGAGCTCCTTGCAGCATGTGTATGTGGCATAGCTGGTGGAGTTGAAGTTGGCAGTGCTGAGGATGGTCACGCAGTCACCCAGCTCTGTTGGCACATGAAGGAGACCTGGGGGGACAAGAAAAAGACCATGCATACAAATCCCATATGCTCAACATCCTTGAAAATCGTGTACCCTAGTGCTGCCCACAAATCCCTTACCCTGGCTGTGCTTGCTTGCAAATCCTGTATTTGCAGGTCCTATGTGCTATCCCACGTCACCCCTCAGACAGCTGCAGCAGTGACCCCAGGGAGCTCCTCACAGTGCCCAAAATGCCCCAGTCCCAGCCTAGCCGGGATGAGGGGACCCAGCAGAGCTGTTGGGCTTGGGCAGCCCCTGGCAAAGCCAGGTTTTGGGACCTGGCAGAACCATGGAGAGGATAGCTTAGCTATCCCCACACCTGCATTTTTAGGGGTCTTCAGCCTTCTGCCTGCCCCTCCTTGGCTCCTTCTGGCCCAGCTGGTAGTGGGCAGGGACATACCTGCCAGGCAGGCGTTGAGCATGGAGACGCAGATGCCGGTCAGCAGGGCTCGCAGCACGATGGAGGCCATGTCGCCCTTGCGCTGGGGTGCCATGGAGGCTGTGGGGGAAAAACAGAGACCAGATCCTTGCTCCAGCTCTAGCCCAGGTTGGGAACAGGCAGTGACATGTCTCAGGTCTCCAGCTAGTTCTGCCAGCCCAGCCCCTAGTGTCAGGTATATGTGGTGATCCCAGCCAGCACGTTGTAAGCCCATCTTGGGAGGTGGCAGAGCACCGTGCCCACTCTGCACCCATGGGTGACCAGTCAGAGCCCTCAGCACTCTCAGCACTAGAGTCTCCGCTCTTTGCCCCATGAGTGGGTGGCACCTGCACTTGTGTGACATGATAATGTGCTCTGGCCCAAGGGTGCAAATTCTTCCTTGTTGCCTCAGGCAAATTCTGTTTCTTATCTGTGTGCTGGCACAGACTGAACTTGGAGGCTTGAGGACAACCAGTTAGCCCTTGCTCCTGCGATCAGGATCCCCTGTGTTGTGCCCAGGACGTGGGTCACACTCACTCAGGCCTCCGAGCATGATCCCGATGGAGCTGAGGTTGGCGAATCCACAGAGGGCAAAGGTGGAGATGCTCTCGGCTCGCTCCTGGAGGACATGGTGGCAGTGAAGGGTCGCCTCACCCCAGGAGAAGCCCCAGCGCAGCCAGAGCTGAGCACCATGTTGTAGCTCCCAGCCCAGCCAGGCATGGTGGAGATAAGTCTCCCACCCCAATCATTTCTCTTTCAGCTATATTTTGGGAACAAGAGTGCAGGTGGTGGGCAGCCTGCCACTGGGAGAGGCTGGACTGGGGGCACAGAGGGTCCTGTAGCACCATGATCTGCCCCACCAAGGAGCAGGATAAATGAAACAGGCCTTCACTGATTCCTTCAGCAAGACCTTGCACCCAGCAGTGAGTGGACATTCAAGTCTAGTTGGCCATAGGTGTCCTCCCACCCCCCCCCCCATCATTCCCCTGCCTCCCTGTCCCCCTGGCCAGGCCCCATGCCCTGTTTGGGCTGGCTTCACCCCTCT